TTTTTTCCTACTAGCTTCTTGTTCTTAGCATTATGGCCAGGAGCTACTAGTAGCATCCTTGCTCCTAGTAACGATGCCCTTTGCTCCTACTAGCTTCTTGTTCCTAGTAGTTTGGCCAGGAGCTACTAGTAGCGTCCTTCCTCCTAGTCGCGACGCCCTTTGCTCCTACTAGCTTCTTGTTCTTAGCATTATGGCCAGGAGCTACTAGTTGCATTCTTGCTCCTAGTAGCGATGCCCTTTGCTCCTAGTATCTTCTTGTTTCTAGTAGAAAGGCCAGGAGCTACTAGCAGCGTCCTTGCTCCTAGTAGCGATGCCCTTTGCTCCTCGTAGCTTCTTGTTCTTGCTCCTAATAGCGATGCCCTTTGCTTCGAGTAGCTTCTTGTTCCTAGTAGTAAGGCCAAGAGCTACTAGTAGCGTCCTTGCTCCAGCTTCTTCTTCCTAGTAGTAAGGCCAGGAGCTACTAGCGTCCTTGCTCCTAGTAGCGATGCCCTCCTAGTAGCTTCTTGTTTCTAGTAGCAAGGCCAGGAGATACTAGTAGTGTCCTTGCTCCTAGTAGGGATGCCCTTTGCTCCTAGTAGCTTTTTGTTCCTAGTAGTAGGGCCAGGAGCTACGAGTAGCGGCCTTGCTCCTAGTAGCTTCTTGTTCCTGGTAGTAAGGCCAGGAGCTACTAATTAGTAGCGTCCTTGCTCCTAGTAGAAAGGCCAGGAGTTGCTAGTAGCGTCCTTCCTCCTTTGCTCCCAGTAGCTTCTTGTTCTTAGCAGTATGGCCAGGAGCTACTAGTAGCGTCCTTGCTCCTAGAAGCGATGCCCTTTGCTCCTAGTAGCTTCTTGCTCCTATATGGGACTTGGATGGCAAAGACATGCAAAGACCAAACAATTATGAAGTATCCTCGCCTTGCTTCTATTGCAAAGAGCAGACTCCTCAAGGAGTTTGCAGGGTAGAATTCGGCAGACAGCGACAAATAAACCACAAAGCAAGAAGCACTCATCTGAAAATCCACACCGCTCCATGATCATGTTGCGGTGTCTTCTGGCCTCATACTGCTGGACCTGGTACTCAATCACTCTCATCACCCACTCAAAAGTATGTTTTGTTGGAGGAAGATACGTGACGCCACAAAAGCATACAAAAGCCAAGCATTCCAACGCCCCATCCAAAATGATCGTTTACTTTGTTATACTTCTTGGTTCACACGGACTGGCGGACTTTTCCACACTGTGCAGGCTAGCTGAGAGCTCTATGGACAAGCGGCACAGGGGAATTCCCGCGGGGAACTATGCTCGGAATGTGTACATTTTAGGTCGAGGCATTGTGATTTCGCATTGTGTCTGCATTCTCATATATATATATATTTCTCGCTACTAGGAGCAAAGGGCATCGCTACTAGGAGCAAAGACGATACTAGGGGCTCCTGGCCTGTTACTACTAGGAGCAAGAAGCTACTAGGAGCAAAGGGCATCGCTATTTCTCACACGCAACATCTGCCAATTCTCGATTGAATCCGCTGGCCAGCTTTCGATCCCCCGAGGTACATTTCCGCAAACGAGACGTCTTGCGACCCCGGTGTGGAAGCCAAGCTTCGGGACCAGTCGTCAACATGGATTCACTGCTACAAAGTCCTGTTCTTTTTGTGACTAAATCAGCTGGGCCTCGCTGTGCAAGTGGCATGGCAGGCCAGTGGATGCACCCAGGAAAAGTCGGTCAAACAAGCAAAAAGAACAAGCAAAGAATGGGTATCAAATATCATCAAATATTCATGACACAACCATGTTTCGATAGAGTTGTAAAATGTTGTAAACATATTTATGGGATGTAAGCCGATCGATTTTCTATGGACTGCTTTGTTGGCAAGAGTATTGGTGATGCAGCTGTTTGAGTAATCAGGAGAGTGTACGAGATGGTTGGCACAAGGTATCCACCTTCTTAACATCAATGGTTTTTGTGTCGCCGCAGGTGATTTGGTAGCCAGGTGAGTGCTTGCCCATAAGCTATCCAAGAATCCAAGCCCTTGTGTCACAGACCCTGTGTGCACCAAGAATTTCTCAGGTTCTCTCATGGTCAACGCATTGACCAGAACCTTAGCTGACAATCCTTGATGCTATGGGTGCCTGCTGACTTGCCTTCATCTGCAAAACAATCGGTTGCCGGGCCATTGGATTCGCATACCACAGCTTTGGCAGTCAATTCCTTACAGCTCCTCTCCCCTTCAGGAGCGTTTACATTTCGGGGATGCACATCCCTTGGAATCCAACTGCGAAAGGCAACTCAGTTTGGCAACTCCAAACCCATCACTTCACAGGATTTGCAGCCTGAAGAGCTGGCACTTCGAACGGCTGATGTGTCCACGTGTGTAATTGGAGGATGCCTGCTGCCCCCAGCCCTGTTCTATTGCCCCACAGATACGCTAAATCTGTGGCCAAGATCTGCAGAACGGATACAAACACACGTTACTTCTTCGGTACATGAATGCAAGCAGCTCCAAAGACCTCCAAGCAATGCAACCAACAAAATACAAACGATGAAAGAAAACTGCTGTGGCCTATTGCTGCTTGCATTCTTCCTTTATCTCGCCATCAGGGCCATCCTTCTTGCCCTGGGTCAGTCCGGAAATTCAGAGACGAATTGCTAAACGATCAAACGAACTGAGGTGTAAAGTTGCCGACAAAATCACCACGGTTTCCCGGCTGTTTACCAGTGCAGGGCCCGCCTTCCCTCTGGCTGGGGGCTTGTACTTCTGATGTTTTGGAGGTTCGTCGTCGTCATCCTCCTCCTCATCATCATCGTCATCATCATCATCATCCTCTTCTTCGTCCTCCTGGCCGTGTTGAAGGCCAAGTACTAGCAGGCTGAAAATTGACATTGGACTTGTTGCTGGCTTGGTATGACAAAGCATCTCTGAACGGCCAGCAATTGGTATGTATAATACTCAAAACAACCCAATCAAGATCAAGTGAACACACAGAATCATAGTTAGAAATACGGCTGCCAACTGGAACTTTTCGCTGTTGCACATTCCAAAAACATTGAAATCTTAACGCCGGCCCTGCAAAAATCATGTAATGTGAACATGTTGGATCTTGAATCTGAATGCACCTCATCATCGTCGTCATAGTCATGGTCCTGGCGATGGCAAAATGGCAGGTGCCGCAGGAGTGTTCAAAATGCAGCAGCGCACCACAATCCCTTCATAATGTTGATGCAAGTGGCAAAGTTTTGCCAGTTATGCTTACATGGCAAAGTTTTGCCAGTTATGCTTACATTTGCTTTGGGGTGTGTTGTGCTAATGTGCGCTTCCAAAAAATAGTCGGCCTCTCCCCCCGGATGGACAAAAACAAAGCCGAAGATCTCTGCTTCAGCTGGCTTGAAACATGAAGGTTGGCCGAAATTCAACGCGCGTTGAAGATGAAAGTCGGCTGTTGGTCACAAGCAAAGCACTGAAAGCAAGGCTGTTGCTGGTTGCTGCTGTTGGCTGGAAGGCAGCTCTGAGGGAATTGCTGAGAGAGGACTCCGCGCATGGCTCTCACAGGAGAGCTTGTTGGAGGTGTTCCTGGGACCAGCCTTCACGAGGTCAGATTCCCACAATTAACGAGCGCGCTGCACAGCAATCTTTTCGAGCTTGTGCTCAAACTCCTGAGGCTTCACATCTTTGCTTCTCAAGCGCTTCAAGTTCTTCAATGGCCTTCGTGACCACAATCCTTGAAGGCTTTGTTGTTTGTTGGAGTCGCTATCGGTGTTGTTCAACTCCAGTAACTTCCCAAGCCCAAATGCCAATGGAACTCCTTTCTGTGCCTCGAGGAGTCCAAGCTGCTCCTTAATTAACAAGGGACATTCCTTGTCACTGGTCTTGCCAGCACTTTGGTGCAAAGCAAGAGGGTCAATGCCATCGTGAGGTCAAACAGACTGAATGCACCCTTCGGATTCGCGCTCTAGCCTTAATCTGACGTCAGCCAAATCCACGAAGCACATCACAGGCACACAGAAGCACAAGATCTATGCAAGTGCAATCTAGTTGATGGCAGTCGATTCTGTTGTGTACTCTTCTCTTCTAAACTGGATCCAAAGGACTCTGCCCTGCACCTTCCAACATTCCAACACACAGGGGCTGAACATCTTTGCTCATCTCTCGTTAAACCCCCGAACTCCTCGGGAGACGCCTCCCCTGTGAAGAAGCGCACAGCGTATGGGATCAGCTGGTCCCGCACCTGTTAGGAAATGGGTGGAAATGGATTGCTCAGGCTGGATGAAGCAGAAAAACGCTTCATAGAACAAAGTTGCGAAACTCAAGGAACTGCGACCATTGGCAAATATGCACAACCTTGAAAAGCTGGCATGTGTAGAATCTTCCTCACGTGTTCAACTTCCTCCGGAACTCTCATTCTGAAGACTCTGAGGACTATGCGCAGCAGCCAATCTCGTAGTCATTTTCCTAGATTGAAAGCTCTTGGATGCAGAGTAGCAGCCTTTTAAATGAACTATGACAAAACCATGTCTATTTCCGCGATCAACGAATATGATGTCCAAGTTCACCGGGTTTCGATTGCTTCATGCCAGTGCTTCAGCACATGTTCTCCAGGACCCTGAGATTGTGGGTTTGAGACTGCTGAGCCGAGGATCCATGAGGAGCTCCAACATGTGCTCATCGTCATCATCGTCCTGTGAAGACAAGGGCCCGCCCAAGCAAAATGAGCTGTCGGGTGCCAGTCATATCCACACCCAAAACCGATTGAGGTTAGCATGTTTATGCGAGTTCAAGTGAAGATTCCACCAGACATGAGTATTCCAGAAGACTGGAAAACACATGAAAACACAACTTGCAATTGAGGATGGTCGATCCCAAACTGGGATGTCTCCGCCCAAAGTTGGCACTATGGTTGGTGCGGGAACTCCTGCATTTTTCCAGTCCCAATATCACATTCCAAAACCCTGAGCCTAAAAAGGTCTACTGTAATAGAAAAGGGTCTAAAGGAAAGAACATGCCTAGAGTAAAAAGAGGTTGCAAAGAAGAAAGATGTCTATATATATATATATATACTTGAGAAGGGGGGTCGAAAGCCAGCAGCCGCCAGACGAGTGTCTCTTTTTCTGGCGGGCGTCGCGGCACAAGACACATGGTCGGCAGCTTGCGAGTCAGCGGTGCCGCGGATGCGGGGGGGGGTATGTAATGGTGTTGGAGGGAGCAGAGAAGCAAGCCGGGCGGCTTTGGGATAAGTTTGGTATGAAAGAAGTAGTGAAAGAGAAGTGCGATACGTTGTATGTTGGTGTAGGTCATTATCACAAGGCAATGGCATGTGTTTGTCACACGCAAGAAGGTATGCATCTTATGGAAGTTGGAAGGCGACATCAGCGTTAGCGAAAGGAAGTACTGTCTGAGTTCGAGTGGTGGGATACCACGTGCGTGCGCGCGCTTGCCCCGCGCGCGCAGGAAAACCTTCTTCATAGTCAGCATCGCCGCGCCGAGTACGGCATGCGTTTGAAAAGAAGCAATGACGTATGTGTTCGTTACATTTGGAGTGTTTGAAGTTTGCAATGCATAGTGCGGCGCGTCGAAAGCGGCATTTTTTGTTTGGAAGAGTGAACGGGCACGTCTAAGCCAGGACATGGACGTTTGATCCAGCGGCGCAGAAGGGGAGGTCCAGCGCGAGTAGCTTGACCTAGCAAAGGAATGAGGATTTGTGTGCCTATCGATGCACATGCCTGGACTTGAGTGAGTCATGTTCTGGCTCGATCCAAAACACAATCTTTTTCCTTTAAAGGGGCCTTTGTTAAACGATCCAAACACATTCTTTATTCTTCTCTTTCTTATCAACTCTGCGCCTTTCTCACTCAGAGGCCTTGACTTTGGCACCTGCGTGTGTAGATCTTTGGGCCGTGGGCCCAGGCTGACTGGATTCGGCCAGGACTGCCAGCAAAAAGGCGACGTCATGAGTCAGTAGCATATAGAATTTACCTATCTATCTGCACCGGCAAGCCGGAAAAACGTTCGGTGCGTGTGGACGCCGCGAGAAGCATCCACTCGACCGAGGACATGGTGCAAGTATAGTTTTTGCTAGGGGGCAGGAGCCCTATGCGAGTCAACCTCGCAGGCATCCCCACCGAAGCTCAATCCAAATTCATGGACTTGTGACTTGAACTCATGTCACTTTCGCTTCTCTATGGAGTTCGCGAGTTACGGGTTGTCCTGGGAACTCGTATCCTACATGCGGCTGCGGTCTGCTCTGTACGTGGGTCCCTGTCTCCACTCGGTTGCTCAATGCCCATTGTCCAAATAGTAAAGCCCGTCATGATGTTAATGATGCACTACTCGGCGTCCATTGCATCACTCGCATCACCAGACCCCCTTTTTCACTGCTTTTTTGACCCTCCCCCCCACCCCAATAACAGCTAACAAAGAAGAAAAGGTTAAAGGAAGAGAAGGTCAATTAGAACGCGGTCTCCAACATGTTTCCGGTCCCACAGATCTGGGCCTCGTCTACCAACTCCCTGGCTTCTTCTAGATTGATATCCTGACGACCAAAGGTACAACAAGCATGCCCAAACCATAAGCTGCAGCTTTTGCAATCGCACCTCTGGAATGGCTCCGCCCTCCTTCAGATTGCCTTACCATTTCTCAACACACTATCCAAACAAAGACAGGCCTTGAAGATTCTAAACAATGTGGAAACTGAGGAACACTCGGAAGAAACCTCGGAAGAACGAGTCTCGTGGCTCTTCTTTCTCCTGCGCCAACCATGTGTTTGGCCCAAGCATCCAGCAACCAGGGATATATCAACAGCGCAGCCGCTATATAACACGAAACCAATGGCCTTGCCCTTCTGCTTTGCCTTCTTGGCACCTGAAAGTGATGTCACATGTCAACCAACATCACGTCTGGTTAGCTCGTGGCCTCCTCCTTTCACCTTTTTTGTCACCTGCAACACAAAAGGATGATGGTAAGAGAAGCCCTTTGCCCCCAGTCCTTAAAACATGCGTTTAAAAAAAAATAGAGTATGTAACTCCAGGAATTCATCTACAGCTAGGTCCAAGCCTTCTCCACTGTGACATCTTTCCCAGGTTTCCACTCAATGGTGGTGGCCTCGCAAGCACAAACACATGCATCAGCATCAACAAAGGGAGGCTTGCCACATTTTACCCCTGTCCGCCTTAATCTCTTTCGCGGACACTTCACCAGTGTACGGGGAGACTTCAGTCACGTGGTACTCCTCACAATCACCGTCACCATACCGCAACGCCGGCTGCAGAAAGTAAGAAGACGGTTGTCAAGAACAGTTGGTCTACAAATCATGTGACTCAGGTTCCAAATTCTCCTTGCAAAGCTCTGTGTTAGTAAAGTAGGGGTTCTCAACAAAGTGGAAGCTCAGCTTGAAGCCTTTGGCCAAGTCCTGGACCAAACACACCACACAGCTCCACACATCACCGCAATCGAATGCAGCTGTTGCAAGCTTCCTCCCTCTCCAAGCACTGTTTCAGCCAAAACTGATCCCTTGAGCTGTCCGGTTTGTCTGAGTTTGAGGGAACCTTCCCGAACTATTTGTGACGGTTTTTCATCTGGACCCTCTCCGAGTCATCGATCCAGGACTTGGTGATGTCTTTGCCTCAACGGAAAGAAGCATAGGATGGATGAAAACCGAAGTACATGTCACCTCTGTTGCCTGGGCTGGTTAAGGGCTGAGGCAAATATGGAAGCAGGACAAGATTCTGAAACGCAGGAGCTTCAGGTCGGTTGTCAAGCCACGATTTGCGATACAGTCGGTATCCAAGCAAAACGAGACCGAATCAAAGCAACGAGATGTCAGGGTTGTACAGGGACTATATATTGACTTTTTCTCCAGACGATGGCCCAAGTGTGCTTCGCCATCAGTTGCCTGTCACTACAGGTCAGTGTTGTCTCACCAGTGGTTCTCCATAATGTCCAACACAAGTTCCTCCGTACCAGTACAGGCCAATTCCCTTCCTGCACCACACCAAATTGCTGAAGTCACTGGTTTCGGCTTAGCAAGCTAGAATCTCTCTATATATATAATAGAGAGAGAGAGAAGACATTGTCTGCTTACTATTCACAAGCAAAAATAGCGTGTGTGTATACACATATTCTGTGTATATATATATATAATAATGTAGGATGGAAAATGATGTAAGCATGTATATAAACAACCTCCAAATGCATCCTATGCCTAATGACAATCTCTGAGGACTTTGCAGTATTCCAGCACCGGCTCATCCCATTCCTGGGCCGGGCAAATCAGCAAATGGTGCATGTACAAAGTGGACACATGACAAGACAAAGAATGTCTTCCCATGCGTCCTCTATGTGGTCTTCCAGTGCAGGGAGGTTCTTCAGAGCCTAGCATATTCGTGCGCCATGCAGCTGCAATGTCTGCGCTTGAAGGTCAGCCCACCTTTGTCCAGAAGCCCAGGAGGGCAGGTGTGCCTTTGCTCTTTGCCTGCACATCCGGATGAACATCTGGCTGCACAAGCATGAACTCAGAGCGGTTGCAAGTTATTTGGACAAATATAAGCAATGGTCAATGGTCCGCTCCTCCTCATCTTGTGCTGCTTCCACATTTGCCAGGACGTTGCTCCTGAAATCAAGCTATATAACACTCAAGCTACAAATGGCCACACGTGACGTATGACGCATGCAGGACTTTGTGGGACATCTGCAGGGTCGTGAACTCTGGTCGTCCTTTGATCCAAGAACGGCTGCTGCTTCGCAGTAAATTGCTTCTGCAGCTCCTATCTCTGGACAGATCAAGTCAGTTTGGAAAGCTGCTTGCTCAAGTGGCATACACCTATGCACGCTGTGGACCCAGAATCCCATTCCAAGTGTTGCCCCAAGTTGCACCTGGACGGCCTTCTCGTACTCCCGCTCAACTTCCAAATACTTGTCATCAAGCTCTTTCAGCTCCTACGTAGGGGTACGGTGCTCTTTGTTCATTAAAAACATCTCAATCAGCTCAAGTGCAAAAAGTGCACAGCGAGATCCTTGATCAGAGGGTCATCTTCCTTGTCTTCGGTCTCTTCCGCCTTGGGCTCCTCTGCACAAAGAACCCACCCAGTTGGGGGCTGATCTATGAGGACAACATCTTCTTTCAAGACTAAAGCGGCAAAAACCAAACAACGCTATGTCATTCTGCTCTGGCGCTGATCTCTCAAGAAAGTCTCTCGTCTGACTTAAGCAAGGACACGAACCGGCGCCTCGTTATTGCTCTTGGGTTCTTCGGGTTCTGTCTTCTTCTTTCCCATGGCTGGCTTCCTGCGAATGGCGAAAGTATTTCTGATAAGGTCAAAGCATCAAGCCCAAGAATTCTGCTGGAATGTGATCAGAATAGGATAGCTAGTCATCTTAGGGCAAACCCTGTACTCCAATGCAAGTTGCGAACGCCAGACATGCTCCGTTTGTTTCCTCGTTCGGTTTGGGCCGTGAAGCTTGCGAGCCCAAGGCACCTCCTTCTTCGGGCTCTTTTCTGGTCTCGCCAGCTCTTGAGCCCCGACCAAGACTTGCAAAAGGAACCAGCAAAAACACACGGACCTAGAATCTAGAACGGAAGTTAGTAAATCGGGTTGAAATGCAAAGAAACGCTCGCATTGCTTCAGTGTGTCTGTCACCAAACTCGCCCAGCAAACCCAAACTTGCCATGCGAGTAGAAGACCTGAGGCAGGGCGTGAGTAAAGGATGTAAATCAGCAAAACACCAGTGCATGGAAGGATTCAAAAGTGCATGGAAGCAAGCGAGAAATGCGTGCTGCTTTTAGTTGAGATGCCTAAAAACTTCGACAGGGGTGCCCCGGTTAGAGCCGGATTCGGAAACTAATCGGCCGGATTCTGAAACTAGGGTTCTGAAACTGGGGTTCTGAAACTAAGGTTCTGAAACTTGGATTCTGAGACTGGTATTCTGAAGCTGGGGTTCTGAAACTAGGATTCTGAAACTGGGGTTCTGAAACTAGGATTCTGAAACTTGGATTCTGAAACTTGTATTCTGGAATTGGAAAGTCAGATTCTGCAACTTGCCTTCTGAAACTTGCAACTGGTGATCTCCACATCATGCGATAGCGTGTGTGTGCCTGTGACATCACCTTCGAAGCACATCCAAACCAACGTCATTAGCCCCCCACCCAACCCCCCCACCCCCCAACCCCCCCTTGTTCCCATCGTGTGATCTCGACATCGCGCCAACCCCCTCTTCACAAAAATGCGAATCCTAGTGAGGGAGCCCACAATGTTGCGGAATCCTAGTTGCGGAACGCCAGTTGCGGAATCCCAGTTGCAGAATCCTAGTTGCGGAATCTTGACAGTTGCGGAATCCTAGTTTCGGAATCCTACTTGTAGTTGCGGAATCCTAGTTTCCTCATCCTAGTTGCGGAATCCCAGTTGCGGAATCCGACCAAACAGTTGCGGAATCCCAGTTGCGGAATCCTGCGCAGTTGCGGAACTTGACTTTATCCGGGATGCCCCTTTTGCTTGCTCGTTGCATGCGCGAGGGCTTGCAACCACTCTGACAGTGTTCTGACGCGCCAAAGAAAGTACAGTACTTGCCGGGCTGCTTGGTTTTAATTCATAACGGTGTGTGCACTGGTAACCGCTTTTTTGTGTTCGACAAAGGGATGTCCTAGGCGGCCTGAGCCTATCATGTCAAGACCTACTCAGACAACATTAGGACCTCTTCTATGTCGCCTCTCTTCGCACCAAGCAGCTAGCAGCTTCAAACCTTTTCCTACAGCTATCTGCCACTTCATACAAAACTATTTGGACTGCTGAGTTGTCTCGTACTGCACAACAAGTGATAGAAAAACTAGTTGGACATCAATGCAAACCTGCTTTTCCAGGACATTGTGCGTGCTCATCTCATGTCCAGAGCGGCAAAAAGCTAGCAGCTAGCAGCTAGCACGGTTCAAGGTGTTTCAACTAGCTATTTCTACGTGCAGTCTGCAGCGTACCTGCAGTCTGCAGCTGGCTGGAAACCAATTGCAGTGCCTGTCAACCGAGGTTAGCTTTCTTGAGGACTCTGGTTTGGTTTCTCGGTGTTTTTCCGCCTTCGCAGTTGGCTCCTCCAGCCTTTGTGTGAGCAATCAGGTGGTTCACTGGGAAAGAAGAAGGAGAAGAACCACGCTCCGAGCCCTTCACGACGAAGCCCAAGCGCGATAAAAAGCCCTCAACAATGACGCCTTCAGCTTTATTCTTCAAAGCACTAGCAACGTCAACAAGCTCAGATATGTCTCTCATGGTAAGTCTTCAATAAGTATACACCTGCTCAATGGGATCTTAGTCCATGTTCCCGTACAAAGGAGATTCAGGACTTCCGACAGGGAAGTCACTCACAATCACAGTCGTCTCCCGGAGGGACAAAGTCGGACAGAGCCTCGAGTCCGATTGTCCAAACCTGTCATCACACTTTCGTTCACAAAAAATGTTGGATCACTTTGTCATGACCCTTCTAACAACGTTTTTCAGCCGATAACATAGACGCTCTGACCACACAAATGGTTTGCATCCCTCCAAAAAGCGCCTCAAGGACTCGTAGGCATCGCTCCTTGCTCTCCAAATCTGCAGCAAGAAAGGACTGTTTGTCCTGCATGAAGCAGGAAGAGAGCGGAGAGCATGGGCAAACATGTGTGTCTCATGCCCGATCCGCCGATGAACAGCACGTACCTCATGTACCCTAAGGAGGTCCTGTTGGGAATTGACTTGGACAAGTGCCCTCCACGCCAGCCTTGCAAAACTTGACAAAACTTGACAAAGAACATCATCTGTGGGTCTGTGGATGGACAGTATCTGAACATAGCTCTTCCACCGGAGGACATGGGACCTATGTAGGTTCCCGTGTTCGTGTCCATCCACATCCCTGAAATGGATTGACCTGGCAAGAGCTTTCCTGAGTGCAAGTGCAGTCAAAAGCTGGAGGGTATTCCGGGTGCCGGGCAAGCAGCGGATTTGCAATGTGGTTGAGACCTGCATCGTTTCACAGAATGCCTCAGTCTACTCTCCAAGTGGTGCCCACCATCAAAGTACCTATGGGCCTACGGGGATCATAACTTTCCTCCATGGCGTATATCTGGTGTGCATTATTTATGGTTTGATTTCATCCGTTCAGTGCCGTTCAAACAGTGGTATCTCTTCGTTTTCCACGTCAAATCACTCCTGCTTTTCTACCCGTCTTACCAACAAGATTCTTGTCAGCTTGGCATTGATCACTTGCTTCTGCAGTGCCCACTTTTTAGGATGAACATGATTGTGCGCCACCTCCTTAGAGTTTGAGTTTTTGAATGGCCTCCGACGAACAGGACCGGATGGCGGGTTGCTTAAATTTCCTGTCTCTCTTTACCTGAACATTCATCCAATATCAGTGTTTGATTCATTCACCAGTAGCCCTCCACCGAATCTACAAAAGGTCTGCAAAGACCCTATCCACAAAAATACTGACATCACCTTCAGCCAGCCTGCATTACTTCAGATGCTCGCAGACCTGACCGAGCTTCGCGGCCCGTATCTTCGTGCTTAAGTTATGCGCGAAGATCCCAAAGCCCAAATCTGCACAAAGAATTATAGGGCAAAAAGTATCGACAAATAGCTTGACGCGCTCTCTTTCTCTCTTTCTCTCTCTCTCTCTCTCTGTCTCTCTCGATGCTCTGGGCATGCTGGCTTTGCTTTAATTCTGCTGCTTTGCGGCGGGCCGAGAGGAGGCCTCGGGTGAACTGTGGCAACGGATTCAACACCGACCATCTGGCATCCAACCTAGTAGCTTCTTGCTCCTAGTAGTAAGGCCAGGAGCCCCAGAATCCTAGTAGCAATGCCCTAATAGCTTCTTGCTCCTAGTAGCTATGCCAGGAGCCCCTCATAGCGTCCTTGCCCTGACAATGTGACAGGGGGACTGCCGGTGGACTGCCTTCTCAGTGCCTCCGAAGACATTCCGATGAATAAGCGACGTCCTCTACCACCCTGTATTCGCTACAGTAGCTTCATTTGGCTTGCGTGTTGTCAAAGGTGCAACTGAACTGCACATTGGCAAAATAGATCTTTTCCATTCTTTGGCCCTTGCGCTTTGCTTTGGCGCTTTGTGCCCAAAGGTGGAGGGTGGCCTGTGCAAGGTAGTCTTGGCAAACTGCAAATGCAGTGCCCGCCTCAAAAGTCTCAGCTCTTTGCCCAAACCAGACTCTCAGAATGACGGCGTCCTGCCATTTCAGAACTCGGGGTGAAAAGTCTTAGTTTGTCATTCCTAGAATTGGTTTGCAGGGAAAATCTACAGGAAATCCATAGTCTGTAGATGTTCCCTTAAACATCCTTAAACCAATTCATTGAGTCATGCAACAAAAGGCCATGCAAACATATGGCAAAGTGTTTCGGAATAGACCCTGCCACCCTCAGTGTCCTCGCCGGCTCAGCCAAGCCCGGAGCTTCCGCCGCAGCGGGAGCCCTGGCGCGGCCGGGCGTTGTCTGGCCTCACAGAGGCTGTGCACCATTGCTCCTAGCAGCGTCCTTAGCAGCGTCCTTGCTCCTAGTAGCGATGCCCTTTGTTCCTAGTAGCGTCCTCTAAATGAAGTCAACAGGAACAGTGAAACCATCTCTGCTTTGGAGTGAAAAATCGTGAAGGTCTTGCTGTGTGTGGGATAAAAAAGAAGAGCTCAACAGCTGGGTTTGACAAGCGGTTCGAAGGCTGGTTTTGTGCAAAGAAACTGATGAAAACATGTGAAAGCGGTTGGCATCCTTTCCCATCCAGCAAACAGGGTGGTTTGACTTGTACTGACATGGCAGTGTCAAAACATTACAGCCATCCCAGCTCCAGGTTCTAGCGGGGTAGAGTGTAGATGGGGTAAACGCATGTTCCAATCAAATTAATACTAAGAAACGATCCAGTTTGCAGCACCAGCTATCTATCCCACACATGTGTCAACAAACAGCAAAGGACGAAGATTGCCTCTGTCCAACGACTGTCATCTTGGTGCCTGCAGGGATTATGGCAATGCTACGAAGTGTCAAAGCTCGGTTGCTGCCTGCATCCACATCTTGCACTTCGAACAAAAGCAAAGCTCACACCAAGTATCAAGTTTATTATAATATATATAATTATATAATATATAACATAAACTTCTTCACTGCCTCACAAAGTGGGAGACTCCAAGCTTCTCATTTGGAGTCTCAAGGCTCCCTGGCAGGACTTGATGATCTTGATCGGTTCCAAACTCACCAATCTGTAGTTTTCATCACTATCGTGTCGTGAAGAACATGTTGAGCCGCGCGGGGTGACAATGTGAGAAACACATGCCTTCTGAAGTTGCATGCGACGTGAGATCCTCGGATTGTTTCTCACCCTGCCAGCACTCTATAGAGCGGAGACATGTTGCATGTTGACATGTTGCGACCGATCTGGTCTCAGCAGGGATATGCGGCGCCAAACGGGGAGGACCGTGCAGGTGATGCCCATGTCGCAAGATGTCGAAAGTGGAAACACCATGAATGAAACAACTTATCAGCTACTAGTAGCTTCTTGCTCCTAGTAGCGATGGCCTCCAACCTACTTGCGATGGCCTCCACCTAATAGCGTCCTTGCTACTAGTAGACTTACAATGAGTTGGAGTCCTGTTTCTGATTATTGATTAGTCTAAACT